TGTTGAAAACAAAACCCGCGTACTATGACATAAGATTCACTCTGTATATTTTTTGCATAGTAAAAAATTATACAATAACCAGCTGAACCCTTGCACTTCGTTGCCCGTTAAATGTACCAACTCTATATGACTCAAACTTTGTTAAATTCGTTATTTAAAATTCGGTGTATGGTGTTCAAAATTTATCTTAACTATTCTGTTGCCAGGAATAAAAATTCTGATTCCCAGCAGTATACATCAGGTAGGCAATCTACCTGCGGTAGATCGCAGACCCAGCTGTGTTTGTACGTAAGTGTATGATTTAACTCTAAAGTATCAAAGTTATACCAAGTTTATTTTGATATAATACGGTGGATTAATATAACAAATTTGGTTGCTCGTAAAAAATCACAACTCTTAAAAAAATTATGATTGTTCAACTCCTTTTGGGTGTAACTTGCGGCGGTAAGTGCAACTCGGCCACCCTGGTAGGCAATGTTCAATAATTCGATTTGATGCAAGCTTGTACTTGATCTGCCCGAATAACCAATGGCAACCAATAATAAATAAATGCTAATTTCTACTGTAGACTGTAAAAAATGGCAACTATTAATAAACAAAAATAAAATTTCCAATTTCCATCGTGAATCTCAATGTCCCTATTTGAGCACCTATTTAAAATGCGAATTTTGGCAAATCCTTTCTTATTGCACGGTGAAAATATGAGAAGAACCTCTATTCCAAATTTCAAGTCCGTACGTTGAGTAGTTTTTGAGATAGGTACAGCGATCAGTGAGTCAGTGGTATTTGGATTTTATATGTATAGATAACTAATTATTGACTAAGGCCTAGTTCACATGAGAGGCGTTAAACGCGCGTTTAGAAAATGTACACAGGATTAATGACGACGCGAGTTAACGCGTTGCAACGCGTTGGAAAGCTGTAAACGCGCGTTATAATACAGCTGCATTCATTATTGTAAACGCGCGTTTGGCTAACGTGCGTTTAACGCTCTTCATGTGAACATAGCCTAACATTATCGGACTTTATTTATGCCTAAAAACCTGCTCCGTGATATCCTCTTTCATTTAAAAAAAACTGCATGACAAGTGGATAAGAAGTTTCGAAGCCAAACCGTAACAAAGATTTCCTCTTTTGCTTGATTTCAGTTTTATATACATAGATATAAAGTCGTTAATATGTAATAATACAATTATATTTTTGAAGTTGAAGTTGAAAGGGGGCCCACTAAGTGTATGGCCCATTGATCCTTAATCCGGGCTTAGTACCCCACCTCCTACTTTATATTTATGCGTGGTACCCTAACCAAAATCTTGGTACGGAGGTACACGGACCATGAACAAAACGTATTAACGTACAACTACAAAAGTAAGTAATATTTATATTGGGTACTATTTAGTAAATAGTAAATGGTGTTAATAGCAAAAATAATATTATACAATACCTACCTATATACATACTACGTAGGTACATTGATATAAAATATAATATTATCTTATTTATCTTGCACAAAATGTTAGTACACAACCAGTGGCGTCCGCAGGATTTTTCAATGGGGGGGGGGGGGGGCTTGAAAATTAGTTACAAATTTATTTTTATTTTGTCCAGTCTAATAATTTCATACGTTTATTTGAGGTATTTTAAAATGTTTGTCACTTTTCAACTTTTCTGGTAGAAAATATGCTCTTATCATAAGCTTCGATGCCCAGTGTATGTTTTTGGAAGCAAATTGGATCTAGTTGGTACTTTTAGGAGGTCGAAATTGAATCTGCTCAGTGCTTTTAAAAGTACCTAATTGGAGAAAAAAAAATGAAAACTTATTTAAATTGTTTGGTAACAGTCGCTTGGTTACAGTGACGTATTTATGGGGGGGGGGGATATGGGGATAGATCCCCTCCCTTACCCATTTTTTTCCATGTATAAAGTACAAACTGCTGCAGTACTGTTGTTATTTATAATTTTGTTATCCTGTGGGCATGTGAGTGACATTACACAACATTTATTATTATTATATACCTTACATGGAGTAACTAACAAAAAGTTGCAACAGCACTAAACAAATTTTGATATCCCCCTCCTCAAGAAAATCCTATATACGCCCCTGCTTGGTTATACCGTCCTCACTTGGGTTGTATTTGATTGATTAAAATTTTTTTTTTTATAAATGTCAATAAAAAATTATTTATCCGGTCGAAAAGTTTAAAAATGTAATACGTAAGTTTTTTTATTATAGCTAAAATATTAACGATACATATGCATTTAAAGATTTTAAAAAGTTTTTAAAGTTTTTTTTGCATTTCACAGTTAATTTGTAGTTCAAAACTTAAAATATTTTATATACATATAAAATATTTACACCTAAGGCTAGATAATTTAATACAAGGTCTTTCGTACAAGTAGTTCATTCATTCACCGAAAAATTACAGATAATTTATGAAAATTGGTATGCAAATACAATGTTTTTTCAAAATAAAATAATTAAAATAAAATTGTTATAATAATAACCTAACTTAGTCTTTTTTTAGCTTAATAATTCAACCTAAACTAACCTTTTATAATTGTAAATACGTTGATATAAATACAATCAACATAATTTGGTTGTTTAAAGTTGAAAAAAATATTGAAAAAATTGTATTAACTAACTAAGCATAAACAATTTAAAAAAAAGTGGGTAAGTGGATGTCGCTCTGCTGTACAGTAGGTTACAAGTGGGTCACTGTATAATGAATGCTATTAAATTTGAATTCAATAATATAATATCATTGTATAAGAAAAATGATTCTGAGCGAAGACGGTATGTCAGTCTAGGTTTAAGACAATAAATTATATACATATCTATGGTATTAACAAAAAAATTGACCTATAATAAATTCCAAATTAATCATATCACATTATCACAATATCCATTAGGTACTTATAACACGTTATACATCAACATCAATAACAAACCCTGATACTATCATAGATATATAAAAGTACACTTTAGAAGTTTCAAGTAGGTACCCACGAATAATATTATATAATCACAACAGGTTTTTTAATATGTAATTTCGTCCAAATTTGAACATAAAATGACTATAAAAATAAACTGTGATTGTATATTTTTTAGATTTTTCGGTAAGAGAATTAACTACTTACGTGGAATCTTGTTTTACATTTTCAATCCTTAGCTATAAAAACTGAACATTTTATAATTTATTAATTACGATGATTAATAATTTTCAAGATTTTGAAAAATTCTGTCAAAATTCGATGATTAAATGCTTATAAAAAAAAATTGTGTATACGTATGTATTTTTAATATTTTTCAACTGATATTGTAACAATATATCAGGAGCCTTGTATTACATTTTTACACTTTTTGGCCCAACAGATAAAACTTTATTGATATTCATAGAAAAAAAAACTAAAAAAATTGAAAAATGAAAATATCCGTAAACAGCTCAAAAAGAATCAAAATATTTTCAAAATTGTATGGTGTATAGGAAATGCTAATATAAACATTCAGTGAAATTTTCATGTATCTGTAGTTATTCGTTTATGAATAACAACAAAATAAGGAAATCGCTACATGAGAAATCGAGTGAACATCCAATGTTGTAAAAATTTGAATTTCAAACGCTCATAAAAATTTAATTTGACTGTCCGGTAGAGATTTTTTTATTGATAAAGGTAGACAAACTTATGAGTAATCTTGTATTATGAATTCTTAACTCAAAATAATTTGCTAATTTTCGTGATTTTTCCATATTTTGTCAATTTTTGAACTTTAAATGCTTATAAAAAAAAACTGTGACTAACGATTTTTAATATTTTTATCTGCCTTTGAAACAATATACTAGGAGCCTTCTATTAAATTTTCAAGTTTTTTTAACCAACAAATAAAATTTTATTCATATTTCTAGAAAAAAAACTAAAAAAAAAATGAAAAATGAAATTGTCCCTAAACAGTTCAAAATAAATCAAAATATTTTGAAAATGGTATCGTGTATAGAAAATGCAAATATAAACAACCAGTGAAAATTTCATGTATCTACGGTCATTTGTTTTAAAGTTACACCAAAAACCAAATTCAATTTTCTGAAAAATCGATTTTGCGTAAAAATTCCCGTTTTTCCTTAATTTTTCTTTTGTTTTTCATGGCGCTTTTGAAAAGTACTGGGAATTTTAAATTTTGACCTCCCCAATGCACCAACGATATTCACTTTCCAATCGAACAAGATACTGAAGTCGAAAATCGAAGTATTATTTCGACTACTTATCGTGTACACAGACACAAAAAAAATAAAAAATAAAAATAAAAACACACATCATTGTAAAATCAATACATTCATCGTTTCACTCAGAATCTAAAAATAGAAAAGGTATCTAACACCATATGTTAAAAACCATACTTTGAGATAATTTTAAGATAAAATAAACAAATAAGATTCCATAATATAATATTTTGAAAGAGATTTATTAATGTTACATAAATCACATCTGCATGAAATAAATGTATCAATTACATAAAAAAGGATTTATTTTACATAGTTAAGTGAATTAAATCATCTTAAATCTGAATAATATAAAAAAAATTGTGGATTAATGTGATACGCTAAAATAAAGTTGATAATTTACAATTTATTAGAAAATAGTTATTACAAATTAGTAACTAATAATACTGGGTTCCATACCAATTCAAAATACATAGAATACAAAACTATAAATGGTTTTTATAAAACTTAATTTAAAAAAAATAAAAAAATTATATGTACCTATACTTTAATTTTAAGGTTGGAATAAATTATTCCTAAATAATTGTTGTAAATTATATACCAATTTACAAAATTTACCGAGGTATGGTCATTTGGGACCCAATTTATCAATGCCGGGTAGTTTATGTGACCTTTGCACTTCACGGAATTACTGAGGCTCGTTGCTTGGGCACCCGTTTTCCCGTGCGTACGCTGGCAGGCTGTGTGACCATTCATCGCGGCTCTTGTGCAAGTCCTCTCGTCTCAAGGGCATCCGTTTTCCCGGGCGTACCTAAGGCACTCCAGATTGCCATTTTCAGCGGCGGAGGCGCACGTCCTCTCGTCCCAAGAGCATCCGTTTTCCCGGGCGTACCTTAGGCACTCCAGATTGCCAGTTTCCGCGGCGAAGGCGTACGTACTCTCGTCCCAAGAGCATCCGTTTTCCCGGGCGTACCTTAGGCACTCCAGATTACTGGACATAGCTGCCACGGCGCAGGCGTCACCCCATCCAACGCCCATCTCGTGGGTAAGTTTCAGGCAATCGATGTGCCCGCTCAACGCTGCCACTTCACATATGTCTTCAAACTTATTTTTAAACCTGCGGTTCAATTATCTGTACATGGTTTTCCTATCATTGCCCCTGTTTAGTTTTTTGTTGACTTTTATTATTTTGAACAGCGACCAGCAACAAATTCGCATATTGACGGACGGTGTTTCCATTAAGTTGTACTCGTTACGCTCGATCTTGTTGCAAGCGTAGTACGCTGTCTTCAACAGGCTAAGAGGGGCAGACATTTATTTCGTTGTCCCACGACATAGCTGTCCGCTGTCTAAACTTGCAGTATATCAGCTTACTACCCGTACTTAAAAGAAAACTCGAAAAGGTCACTCAAGATATTTAATTTGCATAGTTTTATATAATTTTATTTTATTTATTTATGAAGTAGGTACCTTACCTACATAATAATATGTTAAAAAAAACAACTTATATGATAAATTATAAGCAACTGAGCAAGTTTTAAGTGACATAAATTCAAACGTATCTTTGCGGAGAGAGGATCAAGCAATTACTAAACAATATTTTTAAAAAAAAAGCACATTATATTGTAAAACAAATATTCTTTTCTGTGCTCAAAATCTAAAACTTTAACCAGGATCTATCTCCCTGAGATGGGAGCAATTTTTTTTCACCGAGGCTTAGAGGACGCCAATTTTTCTTTTACACCGGGGCGCAAAATGTCTAAATGCGGCACTGTTCTTGGGGATATTTAATATGTTGTTGAAAAGCTTTCATCGTATCTTTTTTATATAACCCGGAATTCATTAAAAAATCTAGGTTTTTGTATGTCCATGTCCACGCTGTATTTGGTTTCAACTTTTGTGGCTTCAATATTTCTCTGACACTTGGGAAAAATTCATACCAATTACCATTTAAATTCAATGCCGGTGGGTATAATGAATTGCAGTTGATTTGCGTTCCATATTTTTGTAAAGAATGTGTTTTTGGAGCCATATAGAATGTCTCGTTGTTATATAGAACTGATAATTCGTTGTAACATTCGTCTTTATTGGTTACATCGACACTAACTTTTTTACATTTAATTAAATAAATTATTTCGGCGTGTTTGACGGCCATGTAACCTGGACCACCGCCCATGATAAACTCCGGAAGATTGTTTGAGGCTAATGTAAGTTTTTGCTGTAATAATTGCCGTTCAAGCACTCATTGTTTTTGTAATAAATCATTGTATAATGCGGATATTGTTGATTTGAAAAAATTTTCTACATAAACAAATTTTGTGTTTACGTACGCCATTTATATATTAATATATTATCAATAAATAAATAATCTGTAATATAGGAATGTACCTACTAACTAATTAAAAATAAATACATTTCGTATTTGACTGCTTTATATAAACAATTGTGTTTCAGTTCATATAATTAGGGGTTTATTGTTTTAATTATTATAAGTCGAATTACGTTGTACCTAGGTTCATTGATTACGCTGGTCACTTTATTCATCAGGCTTCCATTTATTCATAATATGTATCTAAGGTTTTTTTTTGTTATACTGAATTAAATTTCATATTTTGTTAGTCAACGTTAAAAAAAAATAATTTTCTCGTTGAATTCTCTACAAGATTAAAAAAATTATTATTTAAATTGTATTTTTTTTAAACGATTTATAACAATTTTAGGATATGAGATTTTTAGTTTGTGTAAAACACGGCGAGCAGAATAATAATAATATACGAAATATAAAATTCGATATGGGTATTATGAAAACAGTTCTGTCACCAACATAATTATTTTCGTACCGATTATTTATAAACGGCAAGCGGGATGGTCGAAATCTAGTTTTGAACTATGGTTCGGTATGGCTACAGTCGAGCGCGGGGTAGGAACACTATTTTTGAACGCTGCCGCTAGTGTCAGTAGAGCAGCACATGAGGGCTGTGAAATCGTGTTTTTATTACCGAAAACATGGTTTCGTACTTCCCATTTTCCTCAGCTCTCGTTAGTTGTAGAAACATGATTTTTTCACCAAAATAAACGTGAGAAGTTTATCTAAGTTTTGTCGTTCCAGATTTTTTATATCTTTTTTTGTCTATTTTATATGATTTTTAATTTAAAATTTTGAAAATTTCAAATGCAAATATAATTGGTTTGGAAAAAAAAATTCGAAAATCTGGAACGACAAAACCTAGATAAACTTCTTACGTTTATTTTGGCGAAAAAATTATGTTTCTACGACTAACGAGAGCTGAGGAAAATGGGAAGTACGAAACCATGTTTTTACTGCCGGATTTTTATACCAGAACGGCCTCTTAAGTTATTAAGTTTTAACTGTTTAGTTAAATTGAGGTAGACTACTGCAAGTCCTGCCTATACCCATTTCTGGTTTGGATGCATCAGTATAGATCTGAGTACTGGCATTCTAAGTGTGTATAAGTTCATTAAATATTTTACTATACATAGTATCTGGTGTTTCTTTTTTCGAGTGTTCTGTTAAGCTAGTATCAACTTGGTAATTTGGTGGTTTCCAAGTGGGTATCTAACTGTTTTCGCGTTGACATATTTCATTTAAAAAAATATTAATATCCATCATCTCTTTCTGTTGCCTTAAAACTAATGATTTTCTTAGATTAGAATTATGTTCATATATAGTTTAAAAGCGTTTTTTGTTTAAAAAGTGAATATTTGAATTTTCCGGTGTAGATAAGATACAAGCTATGTAATTGAGAGATAACTTAGTTTTTCTATTAGAGGATTCACCAGTCAAGGATAACAGACTAACTATGGGGCTGTTTTTGAATGCTCCAATAGAAAATCTCAGTCATGCATTATGGATTGCATTTACAATTTGTAAGATCTTTAATTCTGAATTTCCACAACAAATTGAACTATAGTTGAGCTTGGATCTTACAAGCGATCTTTTACCATTTAATTATATATAGTACTTTCAGCGCCCCACTCACAATGACTTAATGTCTTAATGACATTTAGGATTTTGTATGCATTTTTTTTTTAGTGACATAATATGAGATTTCCTATTGAGACCTAGTATAGAAAAGTCTTCATAAAAGGGTAAACGAGATGTACCAAGGTAGAGTTTAGGTTTAATTAATTTCCTTTTATTTGAAAATAAAATGCATTTTGTCTTTTGAGGCGAAAAAATGAAACCAACCTTGATGCACCATTCAAAAAGGCCATTAAGGCACTTTTGGAGTATTAGTATTCCGGTCATTTTAGAAATTTTTGTACCTCGAATGTGGTGTGTGAATGTGGGTGTTGTCAGCAAAAATAATTGATTTGACAGGGTTTGTGATGATATTTGGAAGTTGCTAATTGCCGTTTGAAATAAAAAAAATGCTAAGGAACCTCGAGACACTCCGTTTTCTAACATAAATGTGTTTGATCTCTAATTTTAACTTGAAAAAATTGTTGGTTTAAGAAGTTTGTTAAAAAGATTAACATGTTTCCATGTATGTTCCAATTTTTATGTAAATTGATTACTCTGTGTCACAAACCGTGTCTTATGGATTTTGTAAGTCAAGGCTTATTAGAGTCATTGATTGTTTATTGGCAAAAGTTTCTATGACTTCGGTTTAAATTTTTACTTGGCAGTCAATGGTTGAGTGGTGTTTTCTGAAACCATGTTGACGTAGTGAGAGGAATTTATGTTCAGTTGCGTAATAATTTAGTCGGTTGTAGATGATTTTTTTCTAATAACTTGCTCAGACTGTTGCAGAGTACCGATAATGGTCTATATCCTGTAAGTTGGAAACTATTTAAATTTTTTTTTTAAAATAGGAGTGATGATGGAATTTTTTCATTGAATCGGGATTAAGCCTGTTTCCCAAGTTAGGTTGTAGAGACGTAGTAGAAGCAACTAGCCACTAGAAGGTGGTAGGTTATGTAAAAATATAAATGGAATTTTATCGGATCCCCAACATTTGCTTTTAATACCACGAAAACTTGATTCAACTTCAACTTTCAAGCATGGTAATTGGTTCATTTAATATATTGCCTTGGCCAAGGTTAGGTAGTAAGTTTGTTGTGGTATCAATTTCTTTTTTTATCTTGTTTGATAACATCGTTGGTTAATGAAGATTCGCTGCTGTTTTATAATAATATTGGCCAATTGATTGGGCTATTTCATGGGGTTCAGTAAGTAAGGAATTTTCGGATTTAATCGTTTTTATTTGGGACTTGGGAATGCCTTTAATGACTTTAATTTTTTTCCAAATATTAGTTGTTGACTTTTTGTTATTAAGGTCTGTCGTGAATTTTATCTAAGATTTTAACTTTTCGTTTTTTATTAGATAAATAACTAATGCTTTGTTCTTTTTAAATTCTGTGAAATCTTTGAAATCATTTATACGCTTGAATTTATTGAAGGTAGTTTTTTTGTTCCTTATAGCATATTTGATAGTTTGATTTCACCATGGTACTGGTGGTCGTTTTCCAGAGTAACTATTTTGTTCAAAAATGCTCGAGGTCGTGCTATTAATTAAATTATTGAGTTTCTCTATAGTATCCCCCACGTCATAATATTTGAAAAAGAAAAGGGATGATTATTTATGTTTTTTTCCATTTTGGTCTGGTAAGTATCCCAGTTTGCATTTGTCAGTTTCCATTTAAGACTGCGAGCGTGTTTTTCGTCAGGCTTAGTATACTTTAAGGTTAATTTAATTGGAAAATGGTCGCTACTTGAGAGCTCTGGCATTGTGCTCCATTCAAAATGAGGTGTATTACTGCAATAGTTGACGAAGAAAGAGAGAAATCGATCGCCGAGAGGTATCCAGTATTAGCACTTATTCTTGTAAGGCTGACTATATCGAAAATAATTTTCGGTATTACGGTATTGATTTCCTTTTTTTTTTTTTTGATAAAGGTAGACAAACTTATGAGGAATCTTGTATTACATTTTCAAATCTTAGATTTAAAAAGAAATTTTTTTTATGTATTTCTAACTCAAAATAATTTGCTAATTTTCGTGATTTTTCCGTATT